CTTACTGGGAGAAACCTGGCCTAAGCCAAGCATTATTGGTGGGTTTTTGTTAAGTCTGGCAAGACAACAATTTGGAGTCTAGTGGATACCAAACCTGGGAATTGCAATAGCAATAGCACTTAGACATATACAGCTTCACAGTGCTTTACAGCCCTCTCTAAGCAGTTTACAGAATCAGCCTGTTGCCCCCAACAATCTGGGTCCTCATTTTACTGACCTCGGAAGGATGGAAGGCTGAGTCAAACTTGAGCTGGTCAGAATCAAACTGCTAGCAGTGGGCAGAGTTAGCGTACAATACTGCATTCTAACCACTGTGCACCATGGATGGATGGATGAATGGATGGATGGAAAGAAGGTAACTGGCACTCATGAGGCCAGCTAGCACTGATGATGTAACCTAGTTGGGTCACAAAATGTCTGCAAAATACAACCAAGCTCAAAGCTCTGGGAAGCCCAAGCTCAAAGCTTTGGGAAGCCCAGCGTATGTATCTTCCTCCTCCTCCTCCTCCCCCTCCTCCTTCCCCCAAACTCTCCTTCTTTCTAGCAATGATGTTGGGTCTGTGATAAAACAACCAAACTCAGAGAGCACTATGTCTCCATCTCCATCTTCTCCTCCTCCCCAAGCTAGCTTTTATCTCGCCTATTTTTGCAATATTGGGATAAACCATGGTTCCAGGAGAACTTTTGAGCCAGGTCACCACCTCCTTTTGCCTGTTGAACCATCTCCAGAGTCCCATCAAATCACATTTTGGGCTACGAGAGCTGCCAACAACAAGAGCTGCCAAAAACCCTTCTATTGGGCAAGAAAAACACCAGGAAGGAAAATATCACATTAAGTTAGTGGGATAATAATAATAATAATAATAATAATAATAATAATAATAGTAATAAAAAAAGTTGGAAGGGACCTTGGAGGTCATCTAGTCTGCTCAGGCAGGAAACCCTATTACCATTTCGGACAAATGGCTGCCCAGTTTGTTCTTAAAAACTTCCAGTGTTGGAGCATCCACCGCTTATGGAGGCAGGTTGTTCCACTGGTTAATAGTTTTCACTGTCAGGAAGTTTCTCCTTAATTCCTTGATTAATAATAATGATGATGATGATGATGATGATGATAATGATAAAGTTGGAAGGGACCTTGGAGGTCATCTAGTCCAACCCCCTGCTCAGGCAGGAAACTCTATACCATTTCGGACAAATGGCTGTCCAGTCTCTTCTTAAAAACTTCCAGTGTTGGAGCATTCACTGCTTCTGGAGGCAGGTTGTTCCACTGATTAATTGTTCTCACTGTCAGGAAGTTTCTCCTTAGTTCTAGGTTGCTTCTCTCCTTGATTAATTTCCATCCGTTGCTTCTTGTACTGCCTTCAGGGGCTTTGGAGAATAGCTTGACTCCCTCTTCTTTGGGGCAGCCCCTGAGATATTAGAACCCTGCTATCATGCCCCCCCCCTCGTCCTTCTCTTCATTAAACTAGCCATACCCAGTTCCAGCAACTGTTCCTTATATGTTTTATCCTCCAGTTCCCTGATCATCTTTGTTGCTCTTCTCTGTACTCTTTCTGGAATTTCAACATCTTTTTTACACTGTGGTGACCAAAACTGCATGCAGCATTCCAAGTGTGGCCTTACCAAGGCCTTGTAAAGTGGTATTAATGCTTCAGGTGATCTTGATTCTATCCCTCTGTTCATGCAACCCAGTACTGTGTTGGACTTTTTGGCAGCTGCAGCACACGGCTGGCTCCTATCTAAGGGATTGTCCACTCGGACTGTTGCTTGGATGAGGGGGAAAAAAAGTACTTTCACTATGGACCAGGTCCATCATCTGTCTTTCAAGCCATGCATTCACTTATGACAAGATGCAAATAATGCCTGTTTGTGGTGTTAGGAGAACAAGAGTGTTTGGCTGAGGTCTTCAGTGGCTTTTTTAGCCTTTTTACGATTGCTTGCCATGCTCCTGTTTTTTACTATCACTTTTCATGATCCCGTCCTACGTCGCTACTGAATTGGAGACCATGTACGTTCCAATAAATAAGCAAACAATTAGGAAGTCAGTGCCTAATTACACAAAAGTTGCCCTACTCTAGTCACGATTGACGTGTTTCCCCAAGCTACAGTCTGCCTTCCCCCAATTTAGATCTTTTTTTGGGGGGTCCTGAATTTCAGGGAACTTGGACTGAATCTCCAGCCTAGCTGGAAGCATCCGTCATAGGGTGTCATTTGAAGCTTGTTCTGTCCCTTTCAACACACACACCAAGACACGCAATAACAGAAATCAAGAGCTGCAAAACACTACTGGGGTGCGTGTCTCTTTTCTCGGCATCGCTTCGTTTCTGTTTCATCCATTATCTGAACGAAGCGTGAAGGCACTTCCTGCGCTGACTTACCGCGGAGTGTGTGAAGTCCATTCGTCTTTATCATTAACTAGCTGGAGAGAGGGAAAAAAAAAAAAAAGAATTATTCTGCTCCTCAAATGAATCTGTTGCTTGCCTCGAGTTCTTTTTCCAGATCAATGTAGATGATTATTAAGTAGCGGTTTTCCCCCCTCCCTTTGGGTGACTAATCTCCAAAAGAAAAGACTGCCGATCAGATTGGCGATCCTTTCTGAAAGCATCGGAAACTTCCCTAGGAGTGTCCGTGGAGATTCCCAGATCCTGGTTGTCTCAAAGTTATCTCAACTGTTGTTTCGAGGAGGAGGAGGAGGAGGAGGAGGAGGAGGAGGAGGAGGAGGAGGAGGAGGAAGACCAAAAGAAGAAGGAGGAGGAGGAGGAGGAGGAGGAGGAGGAGGAGGAGAAGAAGGAAGAAGAAGAAGAAGAAGAAGAAGAAGAAGAAGAAGAAGAAGAAGAAGAAGAAGAAGAAGAAGAAGAAGATGATGAAGAAGAAGAAGAAGAAGAAGCAGCAGAAGCAGAAGAAGCAGAAGAAGAAAAGAAGAAGGAGGAGGAGGAGGAGGAGTTTTGCTTCTCATTAGGACAAGATTCAGCAGTCCATCTGCATTTAAAAGACAAAGTCCACTCTTTCAAAGACAGCAAAGTCCACATTCTGGACAGAGAGGACCACTGGTTTGAAAGAGGAGTCAAAGAGGCCGTCTAGGTCAAAACTGAACAGCCCTCTCTCAACAGAGCAGGGGGGGGGGGATATGACATCATCTATCTCCTGTCCACAACACAGTCCTTTCCGCAGTTCCAAGAAGGCTCCACACCCTTTTGCACCACTCAGGTGACCCTGAAGACACAGATAAGCCTCCGGGTAGCTTTAACGACTCGCTAAGAGGATGAAAACGACCAGCTGTCTGCAAGGAGTATAAATCTTGCCATTCCCCACCATCCAGTCAGAGCTGAAGAAGCTTCTGGGATGAGAAGCGAAATGTCTCCAAAGAAAAACAAGGGAGTCCAGTTGCCTTGTGCAAAAGCACCTTTGGGGCAACTATGACCTGGATGATGGAGAATCTCCGTGGACACTTCGCTTCTCATCCAATAAAGCTCGTCAGTTCATCCTGCCCCATCCGGACAAGATCCTATGGTCCATCTCCATTTGGAAGACAAAGATCACTCTTTTGAAGATGCCAAAGTCCACATTTTGGATAGAGAGGACCGCTGGATTGAAAGAGGGGTAAAAGAACCCATTTATGTTAGACTTGAATGCCCTTCCCTCAACAGAAGGTGGGGGGATTGTAATAAGACACTACCTATCTCCAGTTTGCAACAGTTGAGAAGATTCCACAACCAATTGCACCCTGATTTGGTGACCCTGAAGACACCAATAAACCCCCAAGTGGCCTCAAGTGCTCCCAGAGAGAATGCTAATAACCAGATGACTACAATGAAATACAATCCTTCCATCCCCCACCATCCTATCAGAACATATCCTTCCATTCCCCCCTCCCATCAGAACTAATGAGGTTTTTCATCTTCCTCCTCAAGAAAAAAAGAAACAGTCCAGTTGCCTTTTGAAAAAGCACCTTTGAAATTTCCTAGAACTTCTGAAACATTTGCTTTGGTCTACATCCTGCTTTAGATTCCGTTCACACGCGGAAATCTTTCATTGGTGATGAAAAGCCACTAGGCATGTGCGAGATATGAAACCAGTCACCTACTATATCTGGGAAGTCAGCATTTTTATAAAGCAACGGAGAAGCATCAGCCTTTTCCCATTATGGAAGGTCCACATTGCTGGAAGCTAATCCTGATCATTTCTACTTTGAATACAAGGATCTATCCAACTCCAAAGTTAACATCTCTGGTTCCAAATAAAAACTAATTACACAGAAGTCCATACATCCCTAGGAATAGAACAGAACAGAACAGAAAGATTATAGAATAGAATAGAATAGAATAGAATAGAATAGAATAGAATAGAATGGAATGGAATGGAATGGAATGGAATGGAATGGAATGGAATGGAATAGAATAGAATAGAATATGGAACAGAATATAGAATAGAATAGAATAGAATAGAATAGAATAGAATAGAATAGAATAGAATAGAATAGAATAGAATAGAATAGAATGGAATGGAATGGAATGGAATGGAATGGAATGGAATGGAATGGAATGGAATAGAATATGGAACAGAATATAGAATAGAATAGAATAGAATAGAATAGAATAGAATAGAATAGAATAGAATAGAATAGAATAGAATAGAATAGAATGGAATGGAATGGAATGGAATGGAATGGAATAGAATATGGAACAGAATATAGAATAGAATAGAATAGAATAGAATAGAATAGAATAGAATAGAATAGAATATGGAACAGAACATAGAACAGAACGGAATGGAATGGAATAGAATAGAATAGAATAGAATAGAATAGTTGGAAGGGACCTTGGAGGTCTTCTAGTCCAACCCCCTGCTCCAGCAGGAAACCCTATACCATTTCGGACAAATGGCTGTCCAGTCTCTTCTTAAAAATTTCCAGTGTTGGAGCATTCACAACTTCTGGAGGCAGGTTGTTCCACTGGTTAATTGTTCTGTCAGGAAATTTCTTCTTAGTTCTAGGTTGCTTTGAGTCAGACCTGCTCACATCCATGAGATATGGAGGCTACGTCTTCTAACTAATCCACCTATCAAAACTCCCCCCTCCCCCCCACAATTTCTGAGCTCTCCAATTTTGGGGGCCCCTAAACATTCTGCGTCGCCAAAGCTGCTGCAATTCTAGGGGGGAAAAAATAAAAAAGGAGTCCGAATGTGACAAATGGCCACAGAATTTTATTTGATTAAAAAAGGGGGAGCTTTCCGGTTGCCCTTGGTGAAGGCTCGCGTTGCAATCTTTCCTACTAAATCATAGATCAGTTAGTAAATCCTCCTTGCAAAAAAAAGAAGAAGAAGAAGAAAAGAAGAATGAAAGAAAATAGATAAATACATTCCACATTCTTTGGCACTATTTCTGGAGAAAATTAGAGAAATTAGAGGTACCAAATTAAGTCCAAATTACAAACTAATCTGCTGGTCCTTGTTGCTCAGATGTTCTCCTCCAGCTCATGTGGATTGAGATGTGGCCTTCAACTTTTCCATTTTTCCCTCCCCCCATCCCTCCCCGAAACGTAAGATCCAGATGACAAATCTGAAATACTGAGAATTAACCAGCTTGAAAGCATCTAAACCATGCATCAGGATTTACTTTCTGGCCTTAATTTGGGAGGATCAGCTCAAAGAATAAGGTCTTATTTGACTTCTCCTTATTAAATTTTTTATTTTCCCTTGTGGGTTGGCTTCAAACACCTCTCTACAAGACCCGTTCAATATATATTTGTTATTTGGGATTTTGACCACACCCTGGATGTTTTCCACGATAACCCAAGGAGCCACATTTGGGTTGTTCACCAAGTTCTATTATTTTTTTTTTCTCTCTTTCTTTCTATGCTCCTTGTTTTTGACTAGTACCTTAACGTAAAGGCAGAAAGGTGAGTGGGAAAAAAAAGAGATAAGAAAGAAAACAGAAATCTTTTTCAGATGTATTGTTACACTTTTTCATGTAGCTGTTCCATGTAGTTCCTTAGTTCTTTACATTCTCCCAAGTCCATGTCTTGACAAACCCACTTGATATCGTCCTCGTTGCTGGTCAAAATGGAGTTGACTGTTGGGTACCCACCATCGGAAGAGATGGTGGTGAAGGTGGTAAATTGGACACGTTTCCGTTTGGAGGTGGGAGAGGTGGCGGGTTCGTTCCTCTGCTCCTTCCCTTCTGGGGAGGGGGCAGAGTCTGTGGATAGGAAGAGTTGGCCGTTGAGGTTCTTCTGAGAGTTGGCACTAAGGAGATATTTGCTTTCTTCTAAATCCACGCTCCGGTCAATGGCTGTAATGCATTCCTCCGGTTGGGTGGAGAAATTGAGGTGGTTCTCCAGCAGTTCAGTTCTATGACTCAGTCCCACCCAGTCGTGAGAGTGTCTGAGGCCTTCTTGTTCTTCAAATGCAGCCTGCTTGTGCCTGTATTTCAAGGCAAAGGTGACACAGTTAATGAGGAACACCAAAATGGCCAAGCAGAAGACACCGAGCAAAGCATACATCCCAATTTCCAAGTCACTTAAGCCCCTGGGTGTCTCATCAGGATCGTCCTCTTCCAAATCTCCATTGCTCTTGGGCAGGTCTACCTGAGCTGGAAAACTGGTGAAGTCTATCGGGAGACTTTGCATGTGACCGTCGTCATCTAGGAGACTCTCCCGGTCTTCTTTCTTACTTAGAATGGACTTCTGAGTAGTGCTAGTAGCTCTGGTTTCTTCATGTCCCATGGAGGAGCTGTAGTAAGGTCCCTGTGGTCGAGATCTCTCCTGCAGGCTTGTCTTCTGACGCCGATCGCTGGTCCGGGTCTCCAGATGGACACCATCTCCGCCAGGCTTACTGTCACTTGGGTTTGGGACGGTGTCATTCTGACCAAACTTGACCTTGATACTTCCAGTACCCACGGCAAGGACACTCTTCCTCTTGGATTTCTGACAGGATTCGCTGATCACCAGCTCCACTTTTACCAAAAGACCCTGGCCTTCTGACTCGGCCACGACGAACGGCCACTTAAACTTGGGACTCTGGTGGACAGAGACGACCTTCTCATCCAGAGACGTGGCCACCAAAGAGAAATCCTTGGCGTCGTAAATATCTAAGGGCACAACTGCTCCATCGCTGAACTGGATCCAGCAACTGATCACAGCTTCCTGTTTTGGGGGGAAAAATGAGACAGAATGACACCGGGACAAATCCAGCACAATCCGTTTTTTTAGACAGGTGAGTCCTCGACTTACAACAGTTGGCTTAGTGACCATTCAAAAGTTACAAACGGACTTACGACCGTTTTTCACACTTACAACCCTTGCAGCAGCCCTGTAGTCACGTGATCGAAATTCAGACGCTTGGCAACTGGTTCCTATTTATGACGGGGGTCCCGTGATCCCCTTTTGCGATCGTCTGACAAGCAAAGTCAATGGGGAAGCCGGGTTCACTTGAACAACCGTGTGCCTCACTTCACAACTGCAACGATTCACTTAACGACGGGGGCGAGAAAGGTCATAAAACGGGGCAAAACTCACTTGACAAATGTCTGACTTAGCCAGATAAATTTTGGGCTCCATTGGGGTGGTATGTCTGAACCTAGTGGTTTTCTTCCAGACATTTCATTACCCAACTTGGGAATATCATCAGTGGTAGAAGGGAGTGGGATTTGCAGAATTGAGGAGGAGGAGGAGGAGGAGGAGGAGGAGGAGGAGGAGGAGGAGGAAGAGCAGGAGCAAGAGGATTGTGAGGTCCTTGGTGGTCCCTGAGCTTGGTTGTCTCCTTGTAGTGTTTCATGACCCAAACATGACGATGTTACCTAGTTTGGATCACAAAATGTCTGCAAGAAAACAACCAAACTCAGAGAGAACCAAGACCCCTAATGCAGACATGGAGCAAAATAAACCTAATGCTGGAAAAATGAGAAAAGAAATGGAGAAGGATCCTAAAGCCAAAGACACTTCCACTCCATACTTACAGTGGACAATCCAGTACATTTGGGATGTTTAGAAGCAAAGCATCGCTCAAAACGCAATAGCTGGTCCCGTTCCAAATATGGCACCAACTGTTGGGGCTAAGGCACGTAAACTTGTATTTTGATCATCTATTCCCCCACAAGCTCAAAGTCTCCCTTGAAATCCTCTAAATCAGGGGTCTTCCAACCTGGCCCTTTTATGACTTGTGGGCTTCAACTCCCAGAATTCCTCAGCCAGTGTGCCTGGCTGAGGAATTCTGGGAGTTGAAGTCCACAAGTCATAGAAGGGTCAAGTTTGAAGACCCCTGCTCTAAACTGATGGGCATGATCAACTCTACCAATAGCAGCTTGAGCCATGTAGCTATGGGTACAGCTGCTGGATCTCCAGATGCTGATGTTTAGCAGATGACCTCAAGATCAACAACCACATAATAATAATAATAATAATAATAATAATAATCATCATCATCATCATCATCACAACAACACCACCACCATTGGCATTGACAAATTCGCTATTAGTCAATTGCAAAAGGCGGCCTTACTAGGAACTGCTTCCATCCTGCGACGATATCTGTAATACCATCAAACAGCCACATCTGCCTATCCCAGGTCCTGGGTAAGGACTCGATAGGTAGACAAATGCCAAATCCAGTCTGAACATCTGGCTGACTGTGCAATGATCCATAATAATAATAATAATAGTTGGAAGGGACCTTGGAGGCCTTCTAGTCCACCCCCTGCTCAGGCAGGATACCCTATACCATTTCGGACAGATGGCTGTCCTGTCTCTTCTTAAAAACCTCCAGTGTTGGAGCATTCACCGCTTCTGGAGGCAGGTTGTTCCACTGGTTAATTGTTCTCAGTCTTAGGAAGTTTCTCCTTAGTTCTAGGTTGCTTCTCTCCTTGATTTTGCTCTATCCATCTTTCCCACTGCCTCCCACCTCCCCTTCCCCTCCAGCACTATTCAAATCCATCTCCCCAAAACCACCAGGCAGGCAAAAATCACATCTGGATGGATTCCACACACCAAAGGACCAACAAGGTTCCCGATGACGGAACTTGCTGAGATGGTTTAAGTTGACTTCTTTAATCAGAGACAAAGACAATATCTACATTTATTGCTGACTGAAATCCCTTGCGGACTTTTTGCTACGAAACAGAAAAGAATGAACTTATGATGTACGGTTGGGATGATCAGACAGGATAGATTTATAAAAAGGAGATGGATGTTGTAACTACCGAGAAAGAGATAAATGGATTATTGCACTTATAACTGCCCTAAAGAAGATTGCAAGTTACTCCTTTGTAGATTTTCTGTAAGGACCCACCCGACTCTGCATCTTAAGAAGACAGAACTCTTGGAATATTTCTTCCAACAGGCATCCTTTCTTAAGAGAAAATGGTTGCAGGCGTTCTAGACAGGACCTGGGGCCCAAGCCCTACGGTTCAAGGTTTTAAGGGGTCCCCAGCAGCCCCACCCCACCAGCTTTCCAGCGACAATCCCAGGCGTTACATTTCCACCCCTTTTTCCTCACTGCCGGTGTAAGGGAGACTTCAGAGGGGAGTAGATGGAAGCTGATGGCCCCTTTGTTATGTTTAGTCCTTTTGGTGGTTAGGGCAGAGAGGGCAGAAATGGGGTTTTCCATAGTCGATAACTAGAGATGAAATATAATTGGATTCTGACATTTTCTCTCTCTTTTTTCCTTTTCTTCCCCCCCCTCCTTTTTTTATCTTTCGTTTTTCTGGGTCTGTATTAATTTATATGGGTTTTTATCTTCTTTTCAACAACAACAAAAATATTTTTCATCAAAATTATATACATAACAAATGAAGGACCACCAAGGTGAAGGGACGGCTAGATTTGCCATTCAACTAGAATGTATAGAATCTTCTTCCCCAAAACATGCATTTTTGGCAGGTGAGCAGTACAATGTTGTATTATTTATGAAAGGTTAACAGAAGAAGAAGAAAAGAATTCATATATTTTTTTTCACCCAGGGCTTGTTCTAGTTTTGCTGCCCTATTTACTGGCTACAATGCTTCTCTATTTAGGTGTTGGGTGGCCTTGGGGGATGAGCACCTATAAATCTAAAATGTCCTTTTAGAATAATATTAACAATCATACAAGGACACCAGCGCCAGTTCACCTGCTTAGCAGGAAAAGCAGATCTGGGGAGGAGGGGTCTTGGTGGGCACAAGTCTCTATGCTGGGAGTGTATTGTTGGAGTATGGGAGAGGTTGATGAAGAGGAGGAAAGGGGGGAAGCTAATAGGAGTGAAGAAGGAGAGTTGAAGTAGAAGAATAATATTATTGGGGAGGAAAAGAGGAGAAAAACAGGGGAAGGGGAGGGATGAATGGGGAAGAGAAGGGATGAATGGAAAAGGAAGGGATGAATGGAAAAGGAAGGGATGAATGGGGAAGAGAAGGGATGAATGGAAAAGGAAGGGATGAATGGGGAAGAGAAGGGATGAATGGGAAAGGGAAGGGATGAATGGGGAAGAGAAGGATGAATGGGAATGAAAGGGATGAATGGGGAAGAGAAGGGATGAATGGAAAAGGAAGGGATGAATGGGGAAGAGAAGGGATGAATGAGGAAGGGAAGGGATGAATGGGAAAGGGAAGGGATGAAAGGGGAAGAGAAGGATGAATGGGAACGAAAGGGATGAATGAGGAAGGGAAGGGGATGAATGGGAAAGGGAAGGGATGAATGGGGAAGAGAAGGATGAATGGGAACGAAAGGGATGAATGGGGAAGAGAAGGGATGAATGGAAAAGGAAGGGATGAATGGGGAAGAAAAGGGATGAATGAGGAAGGGAAGGGATGAATGGGAAAGGGAAGGGATGAATGGGGAAGAGAAAGGATGAATGGGAAAGGAAGGGATGAATGGGGAAGAGAAAGGATGAATGGGGAAGGGAAGGGATGAATGGGAAAGGGAAGGATGAATGGGGAAGGGAGGAAGGAAGGAAGGGCAATGGAGGGAGAGAGGGACAAAGGAAGGAAAGAAGGAGGGAAGAAAAGAAAGAAGGGAAGGAGGAAGGAAAAGGAAATGCAGTGGAAGAGGAAAGCAAAGAAACAAACATTATGAACACTGCCTGGTTCTCCATTTGGCTACCCGTAGATTCATAAGGCCATTTAACACGTTGCTAATAAAACAGATCCCCTATTCACCTAGGGCTTATCAAAGGATCAATTGAGAAGTGACCGCTTATGCTTTAGGAAGAAATATGGGCCACCTGTACTCAGACAGGACGCTCGGAGACCCAACCAGGGAAAGAGGAACTTCAGGGGTGAGGCTGCTCACCTGCTTTTCTGCTTGAAGCAATTCTTGAGCGATGGCCGTAGCGAAGATGGCTTTGTTGCTTCCGGTGCTCAGCTGTAAGGAGAGCGAAAGACCGGACACCAGTTGGACCCCCAGGTCAGTGAGGGTCACCTTCTCATCAAGGACGGTCACCGTCTTCTCTGCCAGGATGGCATCGGAAAGTGGGGACAGGATCTGCAGGAGACAAGCAAAGTGACAGTGCATCGCTACATTCCAAGGAAACCACTTTTTTCCAAACATGCCACGTCTCACTTTTAACTAGGTAGAGCCTCTATTTCCCCTTCAAAGAACATGATCCCTTCTTCGACTCTTCGTCCTTCTGTCTTCCCACCTCATCCCAGGAATTTTCCTCTGTTATTCATGTCCTATGCTCATGGGGCCAGTGTTTTGCATAGATCGATTTTCTTTTCATACCTTTTTTTAAAATTTCCTTCTGCTGAAAAAAATTAAGGAAGAGAGAGAGAGAGAGGGAGAGGGAGAGAGATGATAGAGATATGTCTATCATCTCTCTCTCTCTCTCTCTCTCTCTCTAACATTTTTATCTCTATATTTCTATCTCTCTCTCCTTTAGAGCGAGATGATAGATAGATAGATAGATAGATAGATAGATAGATAGATAGATAGATAGATAGATAGATAATGATATGGATGGAGAGAGATGTTAAATGATAGAGATAGATAGATAGATAGATAGATAGATAGATAGATAGATAGATAGATAGATAGATAGATAGATAGATAGATAATGATATGGATGGAGAGAGACATTAAATGATAGATAGGTAGATAGATAGATGGATAGATAGACAGATAGATAGACATGATAGATAGATAGATAGATAGATAGATAGATAGACAGACAGACAGATGATAGACAGACAGACAGATGATAGATAGATAGATAGATAGATAGATAGATAGATAGATAGATAGATAGATAGATAGATAGATGGATTGGGAGGAAAAGAGAGAGAGAGAGAAAAAACGAGAGAGGGAGAGAGAAAAGGAGAGAGGGAGGGAGAGAAAGAGACCAGATGGAGCAATCCAGGGGATGATACCATGTCATATAAGTGGATGAATTCTGGGGAGACAGGTGACAGGTGTTCTCGCAAGTGAAGGGGCTGACTCTCCATTTGTCACTCACTTCCTTGCTGAATTTCCCTGCCAAATATAGTCTTTGTCTTTTTGGACACAAGGCAGAGCCAAGCATTTCTGCGGCTGATAAAATGTCTTTAGAAAGAGTTGCAGAGTGATGCTACTCTAACAAAGGACCCCCCCTTTTTTGAGGGTAGGGGAAAGACTGATAAATTTACTCAAGGCAAGGCGTGGATTGCCAATTGACATAAAAACTTTTTGCAATGCAATGAAAAAACAAAAAACAAACCCCACCCCAAAAACAAAACTCACCTTATCTGTAGCTAATCCAACAGTATAAAATGAACTTTTAAGTCCCTTTCGGGGCGTTCTTGAAACATAAAAACACTTCCTCCTGCTTTGTGCTATCACGTTGGTTTCTTTCTAGGGTGGAAGTCTGTTCCTTCCTATTTGTCCTGCTTTTCCAGGTAAATCAAGAACAGAGGTGGACTTTTCAAGGACTGCGGCTTTGTATTCAGGTTTTTTACTATTTTGATAAGCTCTTCCAGCTCTGAAATGTACCTCTGTTTTCCTTTCTGCTTCCCTCATGCACTGATCGGTGCAATAACGGTTGCTGGAATTGGGTATGTCTAGTTTAATGAAAAGAAGGGCTAGGGGTGACATGATAGCAGTGCTCCAATATTTCAGGGGCTGCCCCAAAGAAGAGGGAGTCAAGCTATTCTCCAAAGCACCTGAAGGCAGGACAAGAAGCAACGGATGGAAACTAACCAAGGAGAGAAGCAACCGAGAACTAAGGAGAAATTTCCTGACAGTGAGAACAATTAACCAGTGGAACCACCTGCCTCCAAAAGCGGTGAATGCTCCAACACTGGAAGTTTTTAAGAAGAGACTGGATAGCCATTTGTCTGAAATGGTATAGGGTTTCCTGCCTGAGCAGGGAGTTGGACTAGAGGACCTCCAAGGTCCCTTCCAACTCTGTCATTGTATGTTCTAAATTGCTTTCTGATCACCACAAATACACCATGAAGTACACCGAGAGTCTTCTCCATGAGTCTCAGGAAAGATCTGTGAATGTCTGGAAAACCTGTTAGAAAGGTCTAAGGTTTCCTGCTTCAGAAGGGGGCTGGACTGGAAGACCTCCAAGGTCCCTTCCAATTGTGTCATTCTGTTATTCAGTTGGATGGATTCTGAACTTAATGAAACTTCCATATTCACATGCCCTGTAGCCCTAAACAGGATGCTGCCTTCGTGTCTTAGTTGTGTCTTAGTTGTGAACATCTGTAGTGTCTCCAGTTAGATAAAGGATATGATGAATCTTTTGGTCTGCTCTAGAAAAGAACCTGTGTTTTTACCCAGCCCTTCATTGTGCTCACCTGTAAGGTAGTCATTCCCAACTCCTGTCCCATTAGCACCTGTCCATCTTGCAGCTTGGCAATCCTCGGCTCTTCCACTTGCATGAAATTCTTCACCAGGTCACTGATGTCCACTTGCCAGTCGGAGCCCAACAGGTAAGTAGTTTGGCCACCAGGGTCCAAGGGCTCAGCTACGAACTGGGTAAGGACCCGCACTGTTGCATGCTGGTACTGGAGAGTACAACCTCTTCCCTTCCTCTCATCCTCCTCTTCATCATCGCTGTCTCTAACTAATCTGTGAAGAGATTCAAGCCAGATGGTCAAGCAATTCTAAAAGTTGACCGTGTGGCACTGTTGATGTTATGGCCTTAAAGACTTGCTCTTATGGGGTCCATGCACGATCTTATGACAATCCATCAGCCCTACTGATGAACCCAACAAAGTAAATACAGCTGAGACAATTAAATCCCTAATGCAAAACTTTATTGAGTGCACTATTTCAGCACTGATGAAAGGAAAACCAGCTCTGGGGTTTTCGTGCCTAAATTGCTCTACAGGTAGTCCTCGACTTACGAACACAACTGAGCCCCCACATTTCTGTTGTTAAGTGAGACATGTGTTAAGTGAATTTTGCCCCATTTTACGACTTTTCTTGCTTCAGTCGTGAAGTGAAGAACTGCAGTTGATAAGTTGGCAACTTGGTTGTTAAGTGAATTTGGCTTCCCCATTTATTTTGCTTGTCAGAAAGTCACAAAAGACCATCACGTGACCTTGGGACACAGCAACAGTCCTAAATATGAACCGGTTGCCGAGCATCTGAATCTGGATCACGTGATCGTGGGATGCTGCAAGGATTGTAACTGTGAACAATGTTCCTCAGTCACTTTTTTCCAGTGCCGTTGTAACTTTTGAATGTTCACTAAATGAACTTGTGTTAAGTCGAGGACGACCTGTATTAAAAGAATAGAAACCTCCCTCCCCTCTTCGTGCAGGTCACATCGCCCAATTGTAAGTTAGACAATTGTTATGAGAGAATCCACACTCTTTCATAAACATCTCTCCTTGTGTCCTTGGTTCTCACAAAGTAGCCAGCTGATGTTAACAGCTCACATACCAAACTCCTCCCTCCCCCAAGTCTGTTGGCAAGCTATGAAGCAGTTATGTCTGGACCATCCTGGTCACTCTGTGAGTCTTACTTTAGAGTGGGGGGGCTCTGCTGTTCCTTCCCCTTCATGAAACAACCTCTTGTCCCAAATTCCAACTTGAGGTCATTTTCACCTTCCACCCCAAACAGTGGTTCTCAACCTTTTTAATGCCGCGACCCCCCAACCGGTCCTAAGTCGAGGACTACTCAACTGGTGCAGCACCGTTGGCAGAATGGGACTTTTGGTGGCCTCAGCAGGGCAGAGACAGCCTGGACAATTCCTATTGGCTTTTGAAAGCCAATAGAATTAGACTCTATTCAAGAGAGTCTATTCTATTGGCTTTCAAAAGCCAATAGAATAAAAGGGAGTAGCACAGATAAGGAAAAGGGGAAAAAAATGGCGGACTGCGTTGTTTGGCGACCCCCGTGAAATGGTCATTCGACCCCAAATGGGGTCCCGACCCACAGGTTGAGAACCACTGACCTAAAACATGCTGGTGGGAACTCAGCCATTTCAATGAATTCAACAGGAAGACCAGTTGGATCTAGCAGTGAAGGTGTTGGACTAGGTGTAAGGGGAGCTGAGTTCTAGTCTTGACTTGGGCATGGATTTCAACTGGGTGACTTTGGGGCCAATTACTGTTGCTCAGAAGCAAATCATCTTCCAAAATGTTGCTAAGACTTGTCCATGTAGTCACTAGGAGCCAAGACTGGTTGAAGGCCAGAGAGAGACACTCAGAGGAACACAGACCACAAACACAAAGAAATTAAACTACAGTGTGAACCCAGGTTAACCAGATGGAGTATTCCATGTGAACCCAATTTATGTATTGCTGCTGATCACTAATAAATGTACAATATATCTATTCACAATGTTAGCTCTCCATTAGAATGGAAGGTATTGCCAGCTGTTCAGACATAGTAGCAACAAGGGTAGACAGAGGCTGATTTCACACAACATAGAAAGACCGTGTAGGAAAGATGATTGGCTAGTTTGAGGAACACGGTGTTGTGTGAATGAAGCCAATTGTATGCTTTCAGGAAATTATGGGAGAGAAATTGAGGGCGAGGCTAGGAAGATCCCAAGGGATCTTACCTCTTGTTGGAAACAATGGGGATCCTCCAGCCCTTGATCTGATTTAACTCTGGGTCAGAGACTTCAATCTGCAGTGGGAGGCGGGGAACCCACACAGTCAACTCCAGGGGGCTGTTCAGATGTTGGTATGTGAAATGGACCACCGCATTCACTTTGCCTTTCATTTCCTTCCCATTGACAAATACGTAGTCACACCTTTCGGACACCTGAAACAAGAAGGAGATAAAAGAGAGAACAATTTTAAAGAAGAGGATAACTGGACAACAGGATAACAGAGCTGGAAGGGGCTTTGGAGGTCTTCTAGTCCAACCCCCTGCTCAAGCAGGAGACCCTATCCCATTTCAATCAATCAATCATAGAGCTGGAAGGGGCCTTCTAGTCCAGCCCCCTGCTCAAGCAGGAGACCCTATACCATTTGAATCAATCAATCAATCAATCAATCAATCAATCAATCATAGAGCTGGAAGGGGCCTTGGAGGTCTTCTAGTCCAGCTCCCTGCTCAAGCAGGAAACCCTATACCATTTCAGACAAATGGACATCCAATCTCTTTTTAAAAACCTCCAGTGTTGGAGCATTCACAACTTCTGGAGGCAAATTGTTCCAGTGATTAATTGTTCTGACTGTCAGGAAATTTCTCCTTAGTTCCAAGTTGCTTCTCTCCTTGATGAGTTTCCATCCGTTGCTTCTTGTCCTGCCCTCAGGTGCTTTGAAGAATAGCTTGACTCCCTCTTCTTTGTGGAGCCCCTAAATATTCTGAAGACAAGCTGTTCTACTGATTAATTGTTCTCACTGTCAGGAAATTTCTCCCTCATTCTAGGTTCTAAAATGTCTAGAAAACAATTATCTCAAGGTTTCCGGTCAATACAAACTCACTGTCCTTGGTCCACAAGTTCTAGCAACTCTATGTTCCTCAAAATCAACCTATCTATATCAGGAAATTTCCCCTAGGTTGCTTCTCTCCTTGATTAGTTTCCATTTGTTGCTTCTTGTCCTGCCTTCAGGTGCTTTAGAGAAGAGGTTGACTCCCTCTTCTTTGGGGCATCCCCTGTGTCATGGTTCCGACAGATGAAACTCTTCAAGAACTTTGAGGCATTGTTTACCTTAAAGAATCTTTATTCGAGCAGCATAGCATCGGCACATACACAAGCGAAGCCAAAATCTGGATTTCCCTCCCCTTAGTACATAGTATCAAACACAATTCCCTCCTCTAATTAACAGTCATAAATCACCTTCTCCAATTAGTTTGAAATGCAGTCTTTCCCTCCTGTTCTCCAACCCGCCATTCCTTATCATCTCTTATTTCAAAAGCCTTGAATTCATACACTATTACAATATTGTTATGTCTAACTACCTCCCATCACCTTCCTCCTCCTCCCCCAGTATCATCTAATTCTAAGAGTAAAGCATAAGAAAGAAAAAGGCTGCATCTCCAGATGTTGTCAAAGCAAGAACATCCCATGTTAGCAGCGTTGACACCCTGTCAAGTTCTTTCCATCTTTGAACTTCTTCCCAATGTCAGTTCAATTATGACTTGGTCCCTTGGCTATTAATAAGTTCAGATGTTCCTTTTGAGCACTTGGAACCGTGTGGATTACAACCTTGGCTGGCTGATAATTTTCAGGATATTTCAGACAAAGGATTACTATAAAATATTGCTATTAGGACTGGATTATAAAGGCTATATACATACGCAGAAACAAGGAGAGTGGAGGAAGCAGAACAAATAGCGGAGCGTTAACATCAATTAACATCAAGAACATAATCCACACGCAGCCCAATCAGGTTGGACCGATGACGAGGTCCAGGAGCCGTGTGCACAAATTGACTAGCACTATAAAGGAGACTCCCATTGGCTGGTTTTAAGCCCTGATGATGTTGGCCAACGAAAGCTTGGCATTAGAATAAATATTTCTAGTTTTATATTTTTCCTGGTGTTCGTGTTTGTTTGCTCTTATAATATGATTATACCCAGGATTCCTATTTTTAACGAAATTAATAATAAAGGAGATAGATAGATAGATAGATAGATAGATAGATAGATAGATAGATAGATAGATAGATAGATACCCAGAAAACTAGAGGAAATTTTGTTCCACTTTTACTGAGACTGGTGCTACTAGATAGGAGAAGGGAAATACAGACTGCCATACATAAATAAAATACCGCGAGACCTACCTATACAATAAAAATACAAAAGACCCTTTACTCTTTCTCCAAAATACACCGGATGACAAGGAAGAAGAGTCTAGAAAATGGAACACAGAGCAGGCAGGGGAAATGTTTAGGGAATGTGGATGAGCAGAGTTCCCTCCCCCCCAAAAAATACTCTACTTAAATTGTCTTTCTCATGCCAAACAGCTTTCACAAAAATAGAAAGAAAATTCCTGGATGATTTAATTGCCCTGGCCTGGAAAGCTGCTTGGCCAAGAAAGAAAATGAGAGTTAGACTTAAAAAAAACAGAGGATTTGATCTATCAGAGGGAGCACTATCTCTTTAATATACTTGTTTGAATATGATTAAAAGAACGGATGACCCTTAGCTATAACTAGATTTTTTATAATGAAAGATATGATTTAGAATTAAAATAGCATTTTTTCCCTTTTTTTGATATGGGAAATTTGAAAAATCAGAGAATTGGTACGAATAACATGTTTCAGCTATATAAATGTAATTCATGTTGAGAAACTCACAACTGACAAAGATGCTTCAAATATTGATGGGAAATCAAACTTTAATAAGAGCCCAAAAACAGGATATTGACTTATGAATGGATATTATTGCTACTTCTGTAATACTAGTAAAATATGGTGAAGATGCTTATATCTGATTTTGTACACATCAATAGTACTAAGAATTGTAATTGTTTAATGAGGAGAAAAGGAAAAAAATATGAGGAAGAAAGGAAGATCAAGGAAAAAACACTGAATTGTGCAGTACTGAATAGATTTATATTGAAGAACTTAATGTTAACGATGTGAACTCAGACATGTTGTTTACGAAGCTCTAAAGATTGTAATTTTTAAAAGTTAACAAAACCTACAAAATAACAATCAGATATTCCATATCTATCATTTCCCAAGGCTTTTTTGTCCATCTGCCAGCAAAGATGACACACCCTTTCTTTAAACCCAGGAGCACATATGCATGTCCAATAATTTATTAACTCCCATTTTGCAGTGGCAATGATTTGAAGGAATGATCTATTAAAGCTCTCAGCTGCTTCATTCTTTCTTTTTTTAAAATCGTCATCCATTACCAATTCGATTTTGTGTGTGTGTTCCATTATGCTCAGTACAGTTAATATTTCTGACTTTGGAATATGCATGATTTTGCCCATACATGAATTTAAAGCCCCTCCCTTTTTTAACTTTTCCTATTTAAATGCATATCAGATCTAAATCTTATTGAAACATCACAATCTGCAGCAGCATAATTTATGGGAGGGGCTTCCTTCCAGTCTAGTAGGCTGAAAAAGGAAATTTATGCATAGATCCTTGGTTTGTTATTAACTGCAGAGGTCTGGTTCAATAAAATCCCCAGACTTTTTTTTTTTTTTTTAATGTGTGGTGCAATATTAGCTTTTATACATTCCAGAGGATTCTCTCTACCCTTGGTACACACGGTTGCTTACTTCTCATTTTGGAGAAAAAATTCTGCCCTACGTTTTTCTTAAAACGGTGGACAAGTCTCCAAAGATCATCGTACAGCTAACGACGAATCGCGCACTGACTGGAACCACTAAGCCAGCTCATTAATTCCCATAAATGTAACCAACCACCCTGGGGAATTTGCAAGAACAGGTTCCCCCCCACGCCCGCCTCCTTTTTGGAGGGCAAAACGCAAAAGCTATTTTTAATTTATTACCGAGGCTTAATTGTATGGCTTTCGTTGGCTTAACACAAGTAATGCAGTAATACAAATGGCTTAGCATAAGCTTTGGCTACCTCTTTCACAGATCATGAGAGTTCTCAACTTAATACTTGGTTTATTTTAATTAGGGATCTGCACAGGCTTGGATGTTGTTTTTAGTAGGCGCGACCGTTGGGTGCGGTTTAATCCAGGGTCAACATTTGCTTACCGTGTTGGCGGTTCGGTTGAGAACGGACTTTGCTCAACTGATTTTGTACTTACCTCCTGGCTGCTTCTGAACAGCGTCACACCTTGGTCAATACAGGAGTTAACGATGACGGTGATGACGATCAGTGGCAATGGAATACAATTCTGATCCAAATCAATACATTAAAACAACGTCTTTAATCAACACTGCATCACAGCATGGTAAAAGCATGCATTGTGATGGGGATGGTCATCATTGTGATCAACAACAACCGAATACAATTCTGATCCTAATCAACGCATGAAAACAAATATCTTTAAAAACAGGATGCCCTAGCCATCTTTCAATTATCAGGAGAAAAAAAAACTCAACAGAACTCAACCAGCCCCCTAATACTTATCGCCGTGTTCTTCAACCATGACAACTTTTAAGATGGGTGGACTTTGACTCTCAGAATTTTCCAGGCAGCTGTGCGACCTGGGGGATTCTGGGAGTTGAAGCCCACCCATCTTAAGGTTGAGAACGTTCAATTAAAGACTTGCAAAGTGTCTATTCTTCTTCCATCAGAAAGACAGATTGCACTAGAGCAGTGTTTCTCAACCTTGACAATTTTAAGGCATGTGGACATCAACTCCCAGAATTCCACAGCCAGCAACTCCCAGAATTCCACAGCACAGCCTCCCAGGAATTCTGGGAGTTGAGGTCCACATGCCTTAAAATTGTCAAGGTTGAGAAACACTGCACTAAAGTTTTCCAAGATAATGGCAGACCAAGCCAGGGAGACAGGTGATCATCAGCTCCTTGAAAGGGGATTCTTTCTCTTCCCATCCAGTCACAAGACAGCTAGCAAAATGCAAATGGGGTCCAGAAATCCTTCCATAAATTTTTACCTCCAAATCCTGAACATCTTGTTTAGTCCCGGTCAGCACAAGTCCATTAGCTAAATCTCATTTCTGAAAATGCTCCACTTTGCACCGACACGCTCCATAAAAATTCAGGTCCAGAGCATCAGGGGGAGGGGGAAAAAAAAAACCTCTCCCCATGTCTGCCACCTTCTTGCATGCCTGCGCACTCACGTTGGCCCGTAGAAGTCAATTTAATTGGGAAGCTTCAGGGCAGAAGAGGTGAGAAACTGCCACTCACCCAG